CACCCCAAAGGCCAAGTTATCCATGAAATTGCTAAATCCTATTTTGGCTCTGGATGCCATTTCATCCTCTCACATCCAGAGAAAACACTCACCTATTACAAAGATATTTTGATCCATCACCAATCAATCTTGATCAAACCCATTTATGATCGAACCTATGCTAGCAAAGTTCTGTATCATTCTATTTACATTCACAACATTGTTTCTTTAGCTGAATGGGGTCTTCCTTATCAGCTTCGTGATTTACCTGGCCACTCTATCCAATACAATTACCATGATTACGTTGATGCTTGGTTCAAGATCTTCTTGTACCAAAATAAAACTTTCAATCACTCCTGGTTCATTTCTTTTAATCAAAAATTCAAGTCAGAATTACCTTCCTGGTTTCTGAGATGGTGGACTCATTATGGCGCCATTTCAGATATCCTCCCTGGTGATCTTATTGAACTAATTAATTATTTTGCTTCTGTTTACCCATTTACTGCTCATCAGAAAACATTTCCATTTTTGTTAATTTTTATATCCAAATATAAAATCCCTTGGATATTTAAATGGCATTATGGAATTGAAGATAATATAATCATCCGTCAACACTCAGTTAAATGGTGGGCTAAATTCAATGTGCCCCGCATATTTGAAATTGTTCAAGAAGAATTCCCAATTGATCAATGTACTCCTACTCCTGCACTTGCTAAAGTCCAGCAGAACCCAACTGCTGCAATCAGCCAAGGAAGTCAGCCCAGTCTTCCTCCAATTAACCTTGGAAGCCCCTCATCTAGTGGTTCCAAGCCCATTTCATCCAAGTCCAAGATTCAGCACACAACTGATAAATCAAAGTCCAAGGCTAAATCCAAAGCTCCTGCAGTACCGGCTCAGCCCAAGACTCAATCAAAGCCTAAATCCAAGTCCAAGGCTCAGTTAAAGCCCATTTCACCTCCTACTCAGCCCAAAGTCAAATCCAAAAGCAAGTCCAAATTATCCAAAGAAGAAGTGCTCCAGTTAGTCAGTAAAATTATGGATCAAGGAAAAGCCCAGTCAACCAGTTCAGAAAATTCAGAAGACAGTTCAGACCAGTCACAATCTTCTGAAGGTTCAACTACTCAACCCGTCTCATATGGAAGATCTGAGTTCCAAGATGCCCAGGACCCATATGCCTAATCAACATAGGATTCCCTATAAATACAAATTAGCTTCAGTCAATACTCTTTTAGAGAAAAGCTGCTAATTTGTATTTATAATGATTCCTTTATTCACATGTTCCACCGAAAGTGATGAATAGTAAAAGTTACTGTTCACTATCACTATTCACTCAATCAACTTTTGTTAAAAGCTACTCAACTGTTCAATCAATCAGCCGAAAGCAACCGACAGCATCTGTTTTGCCTCATGCACTGCCAACTGCCTTCATCAGTCACATGCTGCTATACTTTTCTATATATTGTAATCAATTGTAGTCATTCAGGCATTCTAAAATTTTCTTTCTCTCCATTGTTGTAAGAAAAACCAGAGTGTTCTGAGTGGGAATCAATCACCTTGTTTGTAACCTAATTAAGATCCTTGCAGTTGCTACGATTGTAATTGTAAGTTATTTTCTGTATTTTAATTACAAAGTTTTATATTAAATGATTTTGGTTAATTAGTGCATTCCAATTCTGGTGTTCAATTTTAATCCTATTTGATTTCGTAATCCATTTTCTTCATCTTATGCTGCTTCCGCCTTTTATATATATATATAATAAGAAAGAAAGAAAAAATCCAAAAAAAAAAAAATTTCCTGAGTCGGACAACCCGGCGAACCGGCTCCGGGTCGACCGGTTCAACCGCCGATTTTTCCGGTTCTCAATAAATACGCTGGTTTTTAGTTTTGGCCGGTTCAGATGGTGCATCTGGACTGGAACCCCGACCAGTCGACAGTTCAACCAGTCGAACTGGCCGATCCGGTCCGATTTTCAAAACCTTGATTTCCCCCCAACAATCTGCATTTGTCCCTGGCCGGCTTATTCAGGATAACATTTTGGTTTCCCATGAAGCTTTCCATCATTTGAAGCTCAAGAAACGGGGTGGGTTATATGAAATGGCTATCAAACTTGATTTTAATGAGGCTTATGATCGAGTTCAATGGGATTTTCTACAGGCCATTCTTCTTAAAATGGGATTCAGCTCGGTCTGGACGCAATGGGTTATGGAATGTGTTAGCACTGTGTCCTTCTCAGTTATGGTTAATGGGGAAAGACGGTCTTCTTTCATTCCCGCTCGTGGGCTTGGGCAAGGTGACCCTCTCTCGCCGTATCTGTTTGTATTAATAATTGATGTTCTTTCTCTCCTTATCTCGCATCAGCTTCAAGATCACAAATTGGCTGGTATGCGCCTTACTAGAAATTGCCCTGTTCTTTCTCAACTTTTTTTCGCGGACGATACTTAATTATTTTCTGAGGCTTCCATTGATGATTGTCTTGCTCCTAAGTCCACCCTAGAGAAGTAATGCGTGGCCTTTGGTCAGCTAATTAACCTGGACTAGTCTGGCATTATTTTTTCCGCTAATACCCCCCCGCTGGTTCAACACGAAATCTGTTTTTTTTTGGGTATTCCAGCTATCAGTGGCAATACAAAGTACTTGGGATTACCATCCTTCTGGGGTAGGTCAAAGTCCGAAGCCTATGGTTTCTTGATGGAAAAAGTTGTTCAGAAAATGCAGGGATGGAAACAAAACCTTCTCTCCCAGGCCGGCCGGGAAATCCTTATCAAATCTGTAGTTCAAGCTATCCCAACATATGCTATGGCGTGTTTTGCTTTTCCGAAGAAATTTTGTGATCGGCTTAATGCATATATCAGTAACTTCTGGTGGAAGGGAAATCCGAAGGACAGAGGCATTCATTGGGCAAATTGGGACAACTTAACTGTTGCTAAAATTCATGGAGGAATGGGTTTCCGGGATTTTAAGGCCTTCAATACTGCTCTCCTCGCTCGACAAGGCTGGTGACTCATTAAATATCCAAACTCTTATTGTGCTCGAATTTTAAAGGGTGTCTACTATCCGGGCAGTGACATGCGGAGTGCGGTGAATGGGCCGAAATCATCTTGGGCTTGGGTTAGCCTTCTCCAAGGAAGAGATTTACTTTTGAAGGGTCTTCGCTAGCAAGTTGGAAACGAAGCTTCTATACAATTTTGGGAAGACCATTGGATTCCCAGAAATCATAATTTTCATGTTCAAACTGGGAGGCCCCCTGAGTGTAAGTGAAGTGATCAATCAACACCGTAAGGAGTGGGACCACCACAAACTAAAGGCTATGGTTGGTGAGTATGATTGTGCCAATATTCTTTCCATTCCAATTTCTGTAGAAGATAGAGCTGACTCTTTGGTATGGCATTTTACTCCCAAAGGAATTTATGAAGTCAAGAGTGGGTACCATCTGGCGATTAATGAGCAGCGCTGTGGTAATGGGACTACTGCTTCATCGTTGTCCCAACCACCCTGTGAGCTGTGGAAATTTATTTGGTCCCTTAACATTCAGCCCAAATTGCGTCATTTCTGGTGGCGAGTGTGCCGCAATAAGCTGGCCAGGCGTAGATGTGCGGCCACCCAGCATTGTCCTACTTGCAATGGTGAGGTGGAGTCAATTGAGCATGCTTTATTTCACTGCAGTTGGACACGGCAGTTTGGTTTGGGTGCACCATTGGTCGCAAGTTTGCTGAAAGTCAACCTACGTCGGCCGCTGAGTGGACTCTATCTTTAATGAAGACTTGTCTAACGGCAAAGGATAGGCAAGACCTTGTGGGCAGAATGATTGTCATTAGCTGGTGTATTTGGAGAGCGAGAAATGATTAGGTTTTCAATGGCCACCCAGTTGCACCTTCCACAACGATAGAACAAGCTTTTTGTCTCTAGACTGATTTAGTCGATGGTCGAATTGCAAGCCCTCAACAAGCTGCTCCTTTTGCTACCCCTGTCCTCCCCACCTGGGTCCCTCCGCTGCTCGACCAGCTCAAGTTTAACTATGATGCTAGCTTTTCAAAGGATGGTTCTAGCTCCTCTATCGCAGCAGTCTTGCGGGACTGGAAAGGTCGATTGATAGCTGGCTCGACCTCTACAATTCCATCTTCCTCTGTTTCTCAAAGCGAAGCTCGGGCCGTCCGTCTGGCTTGTCTGCTGGCATCTTCTTTTGGCCTTACAAATCTTCAAATAGAGAGTGACAACAAGTCTGTGATTGAGCTAAGTGCTACTGAACTTGATCCACCTTGGGAAAGTTTGGCAATTTTCCATGACATCTGTGCTTCTCGGTCAAGACATGGGCTAATCTTTCACTGGATTCCAAGGTCTGCTAACATTAGCCTCTCGTGCTTTGAATGGTACTCTCCCTCTTGATTGGGTTGGCAACCCACCTGCTGAGCTTCAAGCTCTTCTTGTTTCTGATTTTCCTGTGTAGCCTTCTTTGGCATTTCCTCGTTCAAAAAAAAAAAATGTGTATGTTTGTGTTTTAAAAGCTTATATTTCAAAAAATCATATCAAATTAATGTTAATGTTATGTTTTAGCTTAATTAGTAAATATTATGATACTAATTTGTTTGATAGATATATTATTATTTTAAAATTTTATGATAGCTTGAACTTTTCTAAAAATTTTGTATGATTTTTTTTGTTAACAAATTATATGAAACTATAGTTTTAAACCGAACCGAACCATGTTTAAATGATGTACCTCGAATTGGTTCCATAATTTTAATAGTTTGATTTGATTCTAATATTTATGAAACTATAGATAATGGATTGATCTTAGTTTCATCTCAAACCAATCCAAACTGGAGCATACTCACGCTCTTAATTGGTCATGTTAACAAGAGCTTCATGACACTATAAGGGTAATATGGTAATTTCCCTCCATAAAAAACAAAAGTTTGAAAGACACAACAAAGCTTTCTCCACAAAACAAAATAAAAAAATAGGAAAAAAACAAGTATCAAACAAACACATTAACGTTTTACAAAAACAAAAAAAACAAAAAAACAAAATACTCAAGGAACAATTGAAGTAATAATCTAAATAAGCAATAGTCAAATTCCACCCTATAGTGTCATAAACACAAACTATTTCCCAGAAACAATTGATGTAGCAAATGAATTTCTGGGTTCTTTTGGTATGGAAAACAAAAAAATATATTTTGCAAGTCAGGAGACAACAAGCATCACTCTGCAATTACAAGAAACAGGAAACAAGCCTTCTGTGCTGTCATTCAATACAACAAGCTTGCACAGGGAAGATTAGCTCCAAGTTGTGGGATTTCACCAACGATTCAATCGGATATAGTAGACAGTCTTCTCATCCATCCTTTAAGGATTCATTTTCAGCTTTTTTTGACTCCCACTGTGGTAGGCAGCCTTTGTAATGAGAGTGTAGAAATAATGAAGATATAGATACCTCCCTCTCCTTCTGGTGCATTGAAAGTGATGACATGCAACTGAAGGAGCTTCTCAGTCTTTTCTTTTCACTGTCGTAGCCTTGGAAATTCGGATCATGTCGCACAGCAGAAACTTTAAGATTCTCAGGGAGAATGCAGTTGCAGAGCGAACCTAAAAGGGAACACCCAAAAAAAAAAAAGTAAGAACGGCCTCTAATGACCACCACCATCAAATGGTGCTGGTATGTGTCTAAACGTCAGGCTCTTCTAATATTCTACTAAAAGATACCAAGACACGACTAGATTTCATATTTTTTTAAATGCTTCTTGTATTTCAAGGGTAAAATGACATTTACAAACTAAAATCAAGCATTTTATGTATGAATAAAATATAAGTCTTAAGCATGGTTTTATAGCAAACTCAACTACTTATACATAATTGTTGGGTGCATGTCTTTTATACATATCCCATTCCCTTACCTAAGTACTAAGGCCATGTTTGTTTGGGCGGATTGGATTAACATTTCCATGACTAATAATCCTAAGACTACAAATTCATTGGATTATGTATCCAATCTTAACTAATAGCCAAGTTTAAAATAATTAATCCGTACTTCAATTGTTTAACTAAACATCGGATTAATAATTTTATTGGACTATTAGTCCAATCCCAAGCTCATGTCCACCTAAACAAACATGACCTAAGTGTTTGAAACAAGTATTTTATAAATTTAGAAGATTCCATGTAATGTAGTTTAAATAGGAGTGCAAATAAATTTATTAAAAACCCCAATTTTGACTTTCAAATTAAGTTAATTATGGGTACCTGAATTTTGAATTGGTGTACAAGGGCAAAAATCTTATATAGAAAGTCAGCTCCAACACCTTGGAGTCCAAGGTGTTGGTGGGAGTCTCATGAGTCAATTAGGCTATGAATGAAGAAGAGGAGAGATCCTCTTTTGAACAGAAAAATTTGGTCACGTAATTACTAATTCTCCCACGCTAGATGAGACAGGGCCCATGGGAAGCTATTGCCTTTTGAGGATTTAAGCCTCAACTACAAAAGGCTGGCTGGTAAGTATCAAACTTGTGAGTGAAAAATTTTCATTGAAGAATTAACTCTCGTTGTACTAATGAAGAACAATAGCAAGAGATAAGTGAGAAAGTTGCTCAATTGGTGCAGACACAATGAACACATTGGGGTTTAATTGTCCATGTCAGTCAGATGGTTAAAGATGCATGGAAGCCAGTGTTACCAAGAAAACACTAATACCTAGCGAATTACATTTTGAAACACATGTTCCAAAGCATGGCCCAATTTTGTTTTAAAATAGTAAATTTAGTGATACAAAGCGATCTTAAAAGTTTGTTCCAATATATTTCTTAAAGGCTTTCTTAAGACTAAGAAATTTTTTTTTTTAAAAAAAGAAAAGAAAATCAAATATAATGAACTAAAATATAAGGAGTGAAATTTTGACAGAACAAAATATAAAATATGGGTCATAATGCTCATAAAAATGTGTTGCTACAAGATTAATTAAGAAAAAAAAAATATATATAAAAGATCACATTTTATTGTATGTCTAATTGTTGAAAGAAAATTAGTTGTAATAAATACAAATCTACTCCTATTGTATCACATTTTAGAGCCTATGGTGTACCATGCCCCGTTCGACATAACGGAATGATCCGCATTCTACGTAACATAGATGCAAGCTCAATTGAACTAATGAGTCAGGAAAAAGATTTAGATACACAGAAATGGAAGAAGAAAACAAATCATTCAAGTCTAATCAAAAGCTAAAGAAGGCATGTGGTAAGGAAAGGCACCAAATACCTATTCTTGCTAGTCTATTTACCCATTTTGGGATCCGGTTTCCAGTCAGCTGGTAACAGATATCCGCACAGAAATGGTTGCAGTTCTTCACAACCAAGTGATACGCATCACCCTTGTAGTTTGAAGACTGATTCTCCATGAATTCTCTAACCTGGAAAGGGTCCAAGTACGTTGTTCCCATGAATATTGACTTTCTAAACTTGAAGCCAGGGCAATGCCGAGGTTCAACCTCAAAGACACCACTTGTTGGAAAATCATGGGCTCCAAAAGCATATTCTACCCCGTGAACTGTAACACCATGCATATATGGACAATCAGAAAATATTTGCTTCCATTTGGTGAATAACGTGTCATATACATACAAAAATACAGAACAAACTTTCAATCACTACCTTCCATTGCAAATGGCCCATAAATTCTTTAGTGTCATCAAGAAATTGTAAGCATAATTCATAAGCTACTTAGTGAAACTTCTGAAGACTAGGATTACCAATCATAACAATTTAAACTTCATTTTAAAGCAGTTGCATGACCTTGAAGCCAATATAAATCTATTTCTCTTCATAGGCGAAGTACTTCATTAAAAATAACCTAAGTGCTTCAAACCTCCTGACTTGTGTTACCAGAAAAAGCTAATGCCCTAGTAATTTATGTTTTGAAATGCACATGGTACACCTTTGTCCCAAAGTGGTGAATTTAGTGATTCGAATATGATCCCCAAACCTTTTTCAATTTGGGTAAACTACTAATAGGTCCTAATAGTTGGAATTCCATCAAATCCTATTGAAAATAAGTCTTGGCAAAATTGTCGTTAAAAATAATTTTTTTGTGACAATTTTTTATATGTCGCTAACAATTGACAATTAGTAACTTTTTTTTTATCATGATTTTTATAAATTGTTGCTAAAACTTACAATTAGTAACTTTTTTTATGACATTTTTTTTCATAGAACCTATTAGATAATAAGTCCACTTATTAGGACCTACACGTAAGTACCCCTTTCAATTTTTTCCCTTAACATCTGCCTTGGGAGAAAAAAAAAATCAAATATAAAAAATTAAAATATAGACAGTGGAGTTTTGGCAACACAAGATGTAAAAGCAAGTAATAGTGCTTCTAGAGATATGAGTTTTTTCTTGACTAATTTCAAAAATAATAGATTGTGTTTTAATTATAGGGTAAATTACAAATACATCCCTTAAGGTTTGCTTAAAATACAAATTGCCCCTTGTGGTTTGAAAAATTAAAAATACCCCCTTGTCAAAAAAAAATTTTTAACAAAATTAACTGAAAAAATGAAATTCGTAATGGCTCTACTATACAATAATAAAATCACCTGAATTATTAATTGAAATATATTTATGGAATCATTAAAAACTATTAATTGACTAATGATTTATTAATAAAAAGGGTCATTTTTTATGAAATTAGAAACTTCAAGGGGCAGACAATTTGTATTTTAATCAAACCTCAGGGGGTATATTTGTAATTTACCATTTATTTGTTTATATGTTTAATAACCAAATCAAACAAAGCCTATCCCAATCAAGTAAGGTTGGCTACATGAATAAGCCTTCGTCATTTAGCTCTATCAAGGGCTACATGCTCAATATAATTAAATAAATTCATAAAATCTTATAAACAAATCATTGTCTCGAGCTATCACAAAACTACTTCCATAAGAAGGGGTGTTCTATAGGTTTTAAACACTGCTATGTGTAAGTACATTTAAAGAAAATATGGCTCCCTAGAAGCACGCGTATGCGTATTGATACTAGTACGAGTACATTATGGTTACGCCAATATGGCAAGACTCTAAAAAAAATTGGATATGGGCACAACTAGGGTACATCAATAGATTTTTCATTTTTTATAATTTATTGTTTGAGATTCAACCTACAAATCAAAGTTCAATACCAAAACTAAAAAGAAAAATTACAAAATCAAAAGAGAAATCATAGTTCAACAATATTAATACCAAAGTAAAGTCTATAAGCTATTTTAATGTCATTAAATAGGAGAAATTACAAAAACAAAGTTTCATTCCAAAAGCAAGCCTTTTACTTCCATCAACTTCATCATTAAATAATACATCTTACATCTCTAGTACATCAAGTAAAGGATTTGCAATTTCAAGCAAATCAGAATTCTCTAGTAAATTAAACATATCTCCACCAAAGAATGTATAAAAAGTATCCGGTATGTATTTCGATTACCCGGTACGCATGCAACCCTATCAATACGCGTACTAGTATCTAGTAAGTACCCGATACAAGTACGGCAACATTTTTTGAGTAGCCGAACTTCATAGATGGCTCCTAATTTTGAGTAGAAATAAATATGAATGCCTAAGCACCAAAAGCTATATAGGAGCTGTTTGGCGGAGCTTATTTGAGCTACTTACAGCCTCTGAAGCACCAACACTTCAAAATAGGTTCCATAGCAGCGTCTGACATGGGAGGGCACAATGGGGACTAAGGGTGTTCAAATTACCCAGTGAACTGAGGAACCAAACCAAACCAACCCATGAACATATGGGACACCCCACATGATGTCTTTTTATTTGATTAATTTGTTTTCAAAGGATAGGCCAACCCGTTTTCCTCCATCTTCTTCAGTATTTTTAATGGATGTTGGATGTTGACCGTTCATTACTTTTTGCTTAAATTTAAATAATTAATAGATCATTCATAAAAAAAGACATAAACAAGAAGAGTCAACTTAAGTGCAAGGTTTATATACATATATATTGAATTGGTGATAATTTTTGTTAATTTGATTGTTTGTGGATGTAATATTAGTCTACATAGCAATTATATATATATGGGAAATGCTACAATGTACACTTATACATCAAAAGTAAAGTTACAGTTTTTGTGGTAAAAGTTATGAATTTTTGTGATAAAAATTAGTAATGGAGAAATTATACGAATAATGAAAGTTATGCTTTTTGTGATAAAAGTCACAGTTTTTGTCAGGGGGAAAATGTTATACTTTTTGTGATAAGAAAAAGTAGTACTTTTTGTGATAAAAAATATACATTTTTTGGTAGAAATTATACATTTGTAAAAGATGCATACCAAAATGCATATGGTATCCTTTCCCTATATATATAATTTATTGTTGTATCTGTGTCCCCATTTTCTAAAAATCACCGTGTCCCATGTCTGTCTGCACCAGTGATCGTTTGCTTTTGTTATTTTGGAGACTGCATCAAACTGTTTGATGTAATTTCAGCTTACCGCTTATTAGGCAAAAATAACTTAAATAAACAGAAAAAGTTGTGAGTAAGGAAGTTAGGAGAGGGGTGTTTTAGGTTATTGCCTTATAATTATTAGATTTTAGCTTACAAGAAGCTACACTAAACATGCCCATAATATTGGACATATGTGATGGTTACTGTGACCAGAAAGCAACCACCCATACCTGAATGTTCATGATCAAGGAAGATGCATCTAAATAAAGAGGGTAAGCTGACCTTCCACGCCAGTGTGAAAGACACCAAGGCCAGCCCAATAGAAATAACCATTGACTGGTGTCAAGTCGTAGACATTGAGATACACGGGAGTGCTTCCTGGAGCATAGCCTTTTGACTTTACTTTTGGGAACATGCAAAAATGGGTTGTTGATTTGCCTCGCGAAGGAACAGGTACGATTGAGCGCCAGCCCTTCTTTGATCCAGGTTTCATGTTTAAGGGTGAAACCAGCAATCAGTCAATACCTAGTTCCAACCTGAAATGTAGAAACATAAACCACTCTGTAAAAGGACCATTGTTAGATGAAAATGAATGAGATTAAAATGCAGAAACTTAATGTTACGAAACAAAATACTTCTAAGTTAAAAATGGGCAAATTATCTGGCATATAATTTCCATTTGATTCCCTAACGGGAATTTTTTTCTTCGAATACCCAATACCATAGAAATCCTAAATTGAATTTCGTTTTTGCCACAAGACCTAATGGTTGAAAACAAAACGAAAAAACATTAAACCAATCAAAAATCTTAACATGTTACCTGTGGGACAAGGTAGAATGTCAGCAACATTAGCATCATAAAGAGCTACCGCAAATGCACAATGTCTATGCATTCATAAAATCCCAGAGTTTCAAGTAAACATCGTTATAGCTGACTATACAACTATAGCCAATATCTTTAACAATAGAATCTACTACGGGAGACAACAATTTTATCTCCTTTACAACCATTTTCTAATCACACTCCCCTCTAAAATTCAAAATTTCATTTGATCTCTTTACACCCGCTTAATTCTAACCATACTCTCATCCCTAACCTTCTAACTTCTCATTACACCCATCAAACCTTTCAAACCCTAACTACACACCCATCTGAACCACCACCTCCAATCACCACAACCACTTCTTTTGCAGCTGCCACTATGAGGCCGCTAACTTTCGTAAACTCTATTACGGCCCCAACTTCATAATTTTATAATAAACTTATTAGTTCCTCGTTTATTTGTGAATTAAACTCTAGTTTCCGATTATCGCCGTTTTCACTCAATTATTCACTTTTTATTCTAAAGCAAAGTAGTGCAATCCAAATTATCTTTCCTTCCTCCACTTTAATTAATTCTATACTTGAAATAGGTATTTTAATTTATAAATTTAGTCCATGCCCTCACTCTTCATTATTATTGCACTTTAGCCTCAATTTCATTACTTTATATATAAGTGCACTTCATTATAATAATCCTTTTCCACAGATATATATACATATATATAAAATAAAAATAAAAAATTGTAAAAAACCCTCAAATTCCCTTGCACATGGCCAGCCATATACATCTTGATATATTTATGTGTACTTTGGTGAACACATTACACAAATCATGGAAAAAGTTTGTCCTAAGGCCCCAAAACATGGAGTTATGCTTGTACCTCTAGTTCCAATCAAACTAACCATAACCTATGAAGCACGGACATGGACACAGGACACGGTGATTTCAAAAAAATGGAGACACGGACACAACAGGAGACACGGCAAAATTATTATTTTTTTAATATATATATTTACTACATAGATTAATATTATATTACCAAACAATCAAAATTAATTAAAATTAATATTAATTCAGTATATATATAAACCATTACATTAATATTTATAAAGGTAAAAAAAAATAAACAGAGATATTAAAAATATATTAGGGTAATTATAAATACAGAAAAAAATATAAAGAAAAATTATAATCCCAACATCACAGGAAAAGCAACCATTCCATCAACCCACTATCATCATCATAAGCCCTATACACAAAGTAACCATTATTTAATATTGACTTCTTGACTTTTGCCCCTATATTCTTTATTTAATATTTATTATAATCAAAAGAAATAAAAAAAGAAATAGAGAAGAGAGACAGACACTGCCCATCTTTTTTATTTTAGCGAAGAGAGAAGAGAGACGCAAGAGGCGAGAGAGAAGAGAGGCCAAAGGCGAGAGAGAAATAAGAAACAAGAGACTTACCTAACTGATCAAGGTCGTCCACATATGGAGGTCAATTGGAACAAACTTCTTGTTCTTCTGGCGTGTCCAACTTCGATTCTAAGGTACCCCCTTCTCTTCTTTTCACTTTTTGTTCTGATTTTGAGATTTAGGGCTTCTCTTCTCTTCTCTTCTCTTCTCTTTTTGTTTTGATTTTGAGATTTAGGGCCAAAGCTCTACATAATTTTGGACACGGCGTGTCTCTTGCAAAAAAAAAATAATAATAATGAAATTAAAGAGACACGCCAAATGGTGTATTCTGTACGTGTCCCCAACGTGTCCGACACCGCTACGGCACCTGTTTTGCCATGTCCATGTTTCATAGACCATAACTAAATCATGTTTTAAATCCTACTTAAACATCTTAATCAACCTCTATTCCATTACATTGCAACTAAATCCAAATCTATTTCATTCCAGTCCAACCAAGGGCACTTTAGACTTTTCACCACTTTTTCCCTATAAATAGAACCACCCCCTTAGTACATTTTGCACACTTAAACACTCACAAACACACACATTCGGCTAACGGAGAGAAAAGGAGAGCAAGGTATGAGCTTGAGAGGAGGAAGGAAGGAAAAGAGAGGAAGTGTTGTCCAACTCTAGCAATCCTAGGCAAGAGAGAGAGCCACACAACACTCTATTCTTTTCTTTTTTTCCTCTTCTAAATACATGACATAATGTGCTTAGAATATATATCATTTGGCATATTTTTATCATATGAGAAATGTAGAATTACCCATGGTTTTTTTTTTTTTTTTTGGTATAACTCTTTTTATTTCAAGTTTTGAGTACAAACAACTGGTATTTTCAATCCACTTTCAAAAGTTTTAGAAAAATATAGAAAAATCTCCTTGAGCTCATTTTTGAATCAAAATCTTCCTTTAAAGTGTAAACTTTCAAATAAAATTGGTTTTAGTGGAAATGAATGAGTAGTTTGAGAGGAAAACCGATTTTTGTAACAGTCAACGAATCTGGATAAGTCTTGAGTATTTCATTAATAACCAAAAATCAATAAAGTGCATCCCACTTCCATAAATTGATTTTGAAACTAGACAAAATTCTTTACAAACCCTAAAGAGGCCAAGTTTTCAGGACGATTAAAAATACTTCTTTGATAGTTATTTTCAAAAGTCTAAATACATGACATAATGTGCTTAGAATATATATCATTTGGCATATTTTTATCATATGAGAAATGTAGAATTACCCATGGTTTTTTTTTTTTTTTTTTGGTATAACTCTTTTTATTTCAAGTTTTGAGTACAAACAACTAGTATTTTCAATCCACTTTCAAAAGTTTTAGAAAAATATAGAAAAATCTCCTTGAGCTCATTTTTGAATCAAAATCTTCCTTTAAAGTGTAAACTTTCAAATAAAATTGGTTTGAGTGGAAATGAATGAGTAGTTTGAGAGGAAAACCGATTTTTGTAACAGTCGACGAATCTGGATAAGTCTCGAGTATTTCATTAATAACCAAAAATCAATAAAGCGCATCCTACTTCCGTAAATTGATTTTGAAACTAGACAAAATTCTTTACAAACCCTAAAGAGGCCAAGTTTTCAGGACGATTAAAAATACTTCTTTGATAGTTATTTTCAAACTGATTCAAATCTGGAAATTGGTTGCAATTGTTGTTTTCATGCTCTTAGTTGATTGAATGTGCCCTTATTAATTGATCAAGCTTCGGTTTATCATATATGTATATTTATGGTTGTAATTCTTTAAGTTTATTTCATGAAATATTTATACTCGTGTAACCCACGCATAATATACTGTACTCAATGGGAAACTTAATAAGGGTGATGTTGGGATTTCGATCACTAAAGTAAATTTTATGAGATAATGACATGTTGATTTCAAGTATTGATTGGTGGGATGTGTTCCCTATTCAAGGATTAAGTCTTGAGCAAGTGGATTATTTTGAAACCCTTGAATATATCGGTTGCATTCAGACCCTAGGTGGTTATTGATATTTGGTGTTATAAGGTTGGGGAGGTTTTGGGTGTTAGACCCATACTTTGCCATCTCTTTTGACATCCTCGATTGGTGCTACACGGTAAATAACCATTGCAGGCATCTAGGGTAAGGTCTGTAAAGCAACGAAAGAGAGGGTACCAAATAATCTGAGTCCAATTCTTGTAGTTGGGAGGATGAAATCTCATTAGGGGATTTCTAGTTTACTAACACCTAACATTGTAGTCACTTTATCTATTGATTTGAATACCATGCTTCATTGTTTATTTCAATTGTGATTGTGTATCGGATTGGGAAAATGGATGTGGTGTGTGTGAGTTTACTGACATTCCAAACTCATGATGTTTCATGCTAGGTGCAGAAGAATTTATCCAGAAGACAGTGCCACGGAAACCTTTGAAGACATGGCTTTCTTAGAAGAATTTAAGACTCGTTTTGCTCCAGGGCTATTTCATTATCATGTTTTGGGTTGTAATATTGTTGAATTCTATTATTTTGTAACTAACACTATGTTTGGAAACCTATGAGAGAAAAGAAAAGAAATGATTACTTAAGTTATAAGAGAAAAGAAAAGAAAAGAAATGTCTAGTGTAAACCTATCATTTATTTTCCGTCAATGTTTGTTGTTCTTGAGTTAAAACCTGTAAGATCTGTCAAAAAGGTAACTTTGCTATCTAAGGAGATTGGACTTTGAAGGGAGACTAAATCGACTCCTCCGATCTTTCCTGAGATCTTACTCTGTTATTGACCAAATGACTCATTAATAACATTACCTAGACTTCATCTCTTAAAATAGAAATTGGGGTGTCGCAGCCACACCTTCGCAGCCTCCCTCTCGGACTTTCACCTACATTGTGAGCCCCTTCCAATCTTCCCCCACCTTGTGTGTGTGTGTGCGCGCGGGCGCGCAAGTGAGAGAGAGAGAGAGACCAACCTAGGGTTTTCAGAACTGTGAAAGAAAGAAAAGGAGTAGGAGGGTGGCGATGAAAAGGGAAGATCTGGGGATGGGGTGGCAAGTAGGTGTTTGAAAAGGTCTGAGGGGTGGTGAGGTGGGGCAAAGAGGGGTTGGGGGATGGCTCTAGTGATTGATAGGGTAGGGAGGGGTAAGGCAGTGAGGCAACAATGGTTGGGTATTGGAGGCGATGGTGAAGGGGTGAGTGTAATGAAAATTAAGGTTTTCAATTTTTTAGAATTTAGTACCTTCTAGTAATTTTAGATAGGGATACAACTGTAATAAAAAAATTGAAAAATAGGTGTAAGGAGGTATTTTTGTTGTGCAAATAGAAAGCTCCCACTTACTACAACATTATACATACTCTAAGATAATTTTTGTTTGTTTTAATACTTCCAAGGCAAGACAATTAATAGTACCAACAATGCTTCATAATATCAGTGTTTAAGGGTTACGTAACAGTATTTGGGGTCTCCAGTTCAGATACACATGCTTGTATTGGTGAAGGGGAATAAATAAAAAAAACAGCCATATCAGTCGTTATGGCCAATATGATTTCCCTATCAATACAACCATTATTTTAACCAATATAACCAATACTATAGTTTTCTGACCAATACAGTTGATATGAACTCTGTCGGCATATACACATAATCTATGTCACATTTTACATCATTGTTCTTCCTTTCTCTTTATGCTGTTGCTCCCCACATGTTTGAAGCACTTAAATCTACTTATTTATGGCTTAAAACTTCAAATATCTTAATCTTTTAACCTACTAATAAAATTGTAACTTGTTATTGAATTTTTAATTCTTGTTTCCATTCCATGTAGCAGAAATGCATTCTTACCCTTAACATGATCTAACAGCACCTGATACCAAGGTAAGCCTGCATAGCATACTTGGCATCTAATTCTCATGAAACTATCTTGTCCTCCATCTCAAAGATCTAATAAACTAATGTTGTGGTTGATTTCATGCATATTCAAAATAAAATAGTCACATAGATAATTTCATTTATCCACATTTGCAATTGATATTTAAATGTAAATTGCAAGGTTAGTGTACAATAATGCTGGGAACCTCATTTTGTCTAATGCAACTACCTAATATTAGGAGTTAAGACAACTTCCAAGGCTTTCAGAATCAATTTTCTTCTGTATAATAGCATGTAGACTCATTCCATTTCGTTAATGCTCATTTCTACAAGCCTTCACTCCACCTCCACCATTTTCCTTTTGTTCCACTACAGGTTTAAAGGTCTTTAAGGCATGTTTAATAACCTCTTGGTTTATCAAGCTTTTGAAATTCAATATTTTTCATTTTCTACTCTAGGTTTTGGAAACAAAGACAAGGTGTTGGCCTGAAATGATCTAGCTTGGCCTTTATAACCCTTTGGCCACATTTGGCAACGAGATGGGATTGGGGCAGCATAAACAAGTCCTGGGAAAGGTAGAATAGAGTCAATAGACTATACATTCTATGACAAAAAGTCCCACGCTGCTAGTGTTTTAGCATAGGATAAAGGATGGCGTACATTTACTGTTGGTTTCATGGCAAGCCTTATCCCAACATCCACCTAACCCTAAGATAAACCCCAAAATCTCATATGCCTCATTTTGTGCAATTAATTGTGAGGCTTGAATAACATATCAGGGAGCATTTCGCACACCCAATCCCACCCATTTTGTTCCATGAACAAATGCAGCCTTCATGCACTATCACAATTGCTCAGTTTGGTTTCCTTATTACTAAATACCAGATCTATACCTATATTTAGTGCATATAGTGAGTGTACATATCAATCCTAAGCAACTTCTGCATAAACCAAAGAAAATGACAACCAGATAAATGGAGTAGCACGTCTAAAAGGAAGATAGTATAGTTGGAATCTGCAAAACACTGGCACGGCAACAAACAAGATGCCATATCAGGCTTGCATAATACCCTGATTTCATAACCCTTCTTTACGTGTCACTGCAACAGACTTTAGAATTTTGTTTTCCAGACAAGCCCAGTTTTAAGGGAATTTGGGTGTGAATACTTTGGATAATCACCAAAAGTGAATGCTTCATACTTACAAAGTAAAGCATCAACCCATTGGTTAAATCTGAAAAAAGGTAAAATAAGAATCAAGGAAATATGATTCACCAAGTTGCAGCGTCCACTCACAAATCCAAAATTATATATATATATGTGTGTGTGTGTGTGTGTGATGTATTTTACAAAATAATATCAAGAAAAGGAGAAGTGACAAATATAGAGTAAATTAATTTCAACGCAAGAATAGGTATATTGTTTGGCAGATGAGAAAAACTAGGATCTCGAGAAGGAAAAAAAAAAAAAGAAAGCAGAAGAAGATTAACTCTAGATTTTCAAAGAAGAAAACAAAAATGCATATGATCAGATCAGATTCATAAGAAATAATGAAATCAAGTAATGCAGCTTTCAAAAAGAACACAAATGTAAACAAATGAATATGGGTATATATAATAAAGAGAGAACAAAAAAACACAAGGGTTTGATTTGAGTTAAATCAACCAAACCCATTAAAGAAAATTGAAAATCAGGGAGACCCATTTACCTTAATTGAGAAGACGACCCATCAAAACATCAAATAAATGGCTCTCCACCAAAATGCGAAAGAAAATCCCACCATTTTCATTGCAGAGAGTGGGCTATATGTGCCTGACACGCACGCATTGCTTCTGGCAAATAGCAAAGATGAGAGTTCTGATACCACTGTCCCTTTAAAGTCCCGACAGACAAAAGAAAAAAAATAAAAATAAAAAAAGATCCAAGGGTTAAAGAAAATCTGTCCATGTGCACTTTATCATTATTATTATCATATTCTATCATATATGTAATATTCAATGAGGAAATATTTTTTTAACTGAAAAATAGAAGTGATTGTGCCAAGTAATTTAAAGGTTTGTTTGAGATATGATTTTATTTTGGGAAAAATTAGTCTAAGGTCCCTCTTTCATTTTTGGTGATGAAAATGATCTACAATATTATTTTGTGATGTCTAAGGTCCCTTAATCCTACACCCATATATCCAGAGAAATTTCAATCTCTCGTTTTTTCCTTCTACACACATGAACACATTTTTAAGCTTTTCACTTCCACCATTAGATGTAATCTCTCTCTCTCTCTCTCTCTCTCTCTCTCATTCGATTAACCATGAACCGTTTCAACACCGATTCAGAGGGTTGTCCAACACTGATTCGGAGGAGCCAGTCTGCCGCCGGCCGTCATGCGAAGAGATCGTCATGCAGAGAGATCTCTGTTCGCTCTCATCGATCTCAATCTCATGATCATCATGTTGCTGACTCTGGCGAATCGAGGACAGAAGAATGGAATCGTAGTGGATCGAGAGCGCCGAAACGAAGGCTCTGTGTCGCTGAGGTCTATGTGTTGAGCAGCTTGCGATTTTGGAGATAAAGATGGGATTAGGCAACAGTGGTGCTGCTTTAGCCCACTAAGGACAGGCATACCATTTTTCAAGTCTCTGAAGCATACTATTTGGTATTTCAGTCATTCATATACTTGAAGTTGTTACCTTCTAAAAAAATATACTTGAAGCTGTTGAACTGGAATTAATGGGGAGTGAGTTTGGATATACTTTTTAGTCTTGATTTTCAGCATTAGTTAATGGTTTTCAAATATGATTCACACTTAACTTTAGGGCTAGAGAAGAAAGATATTTTTCTTTTATCTTCCATGCTGAAGTAAGTAGATTTCTTCATAATTCTGTGTATTTTGTAGAATCAATTGTTAATGTCTCCCCAGTTAAACATATTCTTTTGCTTTCGAATGTCTACTACTTGTTGTTTCAGTTATTTGCAGTGTATGTTACTGAAAATTGTTTGATGATAATGAAAATGGTTGCATTCTTTTTCAAGTTTGATATGTAAAACCATTTAACCTCTAAGATCATTAAATTACAACCACTATATTGCTTAAAAGATGCCTCTTTTTCCATCAGACACTAATAATTTGAAACCTGTTCTAGCTTCAGTCTAGACCACTCAATTCAACTTGATGAAGATTTGAATTTAAATTGGTTTTTGTACCTATATTATTTGTGCTGCTAAGTTGTGTATAGTTGAACTAGTGTTACTTGTTAAATTTAGAATGATATACTCTACTTATCACACATACAGACACATAACATAATTGGCACTCTTACGTATATATATGGTGTGTGTTTGGACTAGAGAAATTCTGATTTGAACTAAATTTTCTCTGGGTTGGTCCAGAGAAATTCTTTGGTTTGGATTGAATTTTTTTTTTATTTGAACTGAATTTTCTCTGGGTTAAAGAGAATTTCTCTGGAAATGTTTCTTTAGAAATTTCATTGATTTTGAGAGAATTTCTCTGGCTTAAAGTGATCCAGAGAAATTCTTAAAGATGTTTTTCTTTTATCTTCCATGCTGAAGTAAGTAGATTTCTTCATAATTCTGTGTATTTTGTAGAATCAATTGTTAATGTCTCCCCAGTTAAACATATTCTTTTGCTTTTGAATATCTACTACTTGCTGTTTCAGTTATTTGCAGTGTATGTTACTGAAAATTGTTTGATGATAATGAAAATGATTGCATTCTTTTTCAAGTTTGATATGTAAAACCATTTAACCTCCAAGATCATTGAATTACAACCACTATATTGCTTAAAAGATGCCTCTTTTTCCATCAGACACTAATAATTTGAAACATGTTCTAGCTTCAGTCTAGACCACTCAATTCAACTTGATGAAGATTTGAATTTAAATTGGTTTTTGTACCTATATTATTTGTGCTGCTAAGTTGTGTATAGTTGAACTAGTGTTACTTGTTAAATTTAGAATGATATACTCTACTTATCACACATACAGACACATAACATAATTGGCACTCTTACGTATATATATGGTGTGTGTTTGGACTAGAGAAATTCTGATTTGAACTAAATTTTTTCTGGGTTGGCCAGAGAAATTCTTTGATTTGACTGATTGTATTTTTATTTGAATGATTTCTCTGGTTAAAGGAGAATTTCTCTGAAATGTTTCTTTAGGAATTTCATTGATTTTTGAGGAGAATTTTCGTTGCTTACAAAGTGATTCAGAGAAATCTTCATTATTTTCTCTAAAAAATTTCAATCCAGAGAAATCTTCTTCTGGGATTTTGCGCGTTGATAATAATTTTCTCTGAGAAAATTCTCTAGAAGGTTCAGAGAATAGAGAAACCTCTATAGAAATTCTAGTTCTTTGAGAGAAAGTTTCAGAGGTCCAGAGAAATTCCTGGAGAGAAATTCTCTGGGAAGTCTAGAGAAATTCTCTAGATAAATTTCTCTGGATTCAAATTGAGGGACCTTAACATTATGAAATCTTTGTGTCCTTTATGCTTAAAATTTATACCAGGGACCTTAAAAAAAAAATCCCGTTTATTTTTTAGTATGCTAATTCCACATAAGGTTAGTTGAGATTTTGAGAGAAGAGGAAGAGTGTAGGAAGCTGTGGATATTAATTTAATCTTTTTTTTTTTTTAATTCAGGCATTTTAGAGGAGAAATTATATGGATTAAGCATTTTTTTTTTAAAACTAAAATATAAAGTAAAGTATAGAAAATGTATGGAATTTTTATTTTTTATTTTTTATGAGAAATCGTATAAAAGTTAAAGAAATGAATCTTTGACCTTTTTTATATGCTTTTGAAATTTCTTATGATTTTTAATTAAAATATATTCTTCTCAAATAACCAATGTGCATTTCTAAAGGATGTCTTGTTGTTAGCGTGTTTATGAGTTAGGATGGCAATTGATGTGGATTTTTTGAGTTTGATGCGCGAATTATTGTTTTAAACTTAACTATTTTAATGATATAATTTCATATTTTATTTTAATTTGACAGTTTTAACCTGTGTAATTATTGTATTTTACTTACTCTATCATGCTTTCTCAAATCTTTTTTTTAATAAAAATCAGTTAGAGACAAATAAATCGAATTGGATAATTTTATATCCCTAATTTCACCTTGGTAGTATTGTCTAAATTTATCTAAAATATCAGAAATTTTATTATATAATTTGATTTAAAAATTCATAAGTAAGAATAAGTTCTCTTTAGTGTCCATCATGTAGAGCATATATTCCACTTCAATGATATGATGGGGAGATACCATAACAAAATTATGATTTTATTTTGTTTTTAGAAAATAACGCTATTATTTCAAAATATGTTTTATTTTTTTGAAAATAAATATAATTATTATAAGAATTTTATATTTTTTTATAAGTAATTTTAAATAAATAAATGGAATCATCATAATGTCACTCGTTCCAAACAGCACATTTAATCTCGTGGAGTGGGACAAACCTTAGTTTTTGTTTGCAAAAACTCATAATAAATTATCAAATATTCTCTCTAGTTTTTTTTTTTTTTTTTTTGCATGTCTTTTCATAAAAAGTTTAAAAAAAATCATTAATAAAGTTATTTCTAACAACCTTATTCTTCAAATAAATTTCCAAGCATAAGTGTGTATTTCTTCATTTTTCTCTCTGGTCATTTCTTTTTTTATTTTAAAAAAAAAAAAACTCTCAAACTC